GTCACTGTTTGCAAGTCTCTCTTAGCCTCAGCTGGGTCTAATCTTTGTAATAAAAAAAAATCCTTGAGGATGTTTTTACTAAATCATATCTTGACCATCCAATCTTTCTTGAAGAAGATCATTTAATTTTATGGGAAGAAATGAACAATTAAAATGGCAGCAGCGGAGTACTGGCCTGGAAAGGAGAAAACAGGAGATTCTCATTCAAGCCCTGCGCTTCTCCTCGTCACACGACCTTGGCAAGCCGTCTCGTGGGCCTCAGTTTCCACATCTGGAAAAGGGGGAGGCTGAGGGGGGGCAGCTGCTGTCTCCCCCATAACCTCTGAGAAAGAGAGGCCAAGGGATGCAAACCAGGGTCCTTCGCCTCCATTTTGACATTAATGAAACAAGAGAAATCGTGATTAGCTAATGGCAGAATTTAGATGATTCATTAAAAGCAATTATACGGTAATAGTTGACAAACAGAAAATGCCAGACCCAGTGGGCTATTTTAAAGGAGACACATTTAAATGCACATTGTGTTGAATGGAGTCTCGCTTAAATGGTCCGTTTGAGCCAGATTATGGAACTGAGGCAAAGAACCACAAAATCAGCCTGAGCGTTCGGGACGGTCCAGAGAGCTAATCTGGACAACTGGACAAAAGGCTTTTCCTTGGCCTCAGCTGACCACGTAATTGTGCACACATCTCCATTTGCCTCTCTGGAATGTCCCTTTGCATCGTAAGAGAACTCAGACATAGATCCGTAGGATGACGTCCCTGAGGGTGGGGTGGTGTTAGGGACAAGCCGCCCGCAGCAGTGCAGATACTCACTGCTGAGTCCTGACTCTCAGGCCCTTTCATCCGACGCCCGTCTCATGGCACGCCAACCCAGCCGCCTCATCACTTTGAAGGGATTTGTTTTTTCTCAATTTCAGAACAAAATTAAAACAAAAAACATCAGGCAACAAGCTTAGATCAGAGGTGATATCTGGGTGGTCAACAGAATTTTTGAGGAAGTGTTTAAGGGCTAATCACTGATACGGTGCCCACCTCCAGAATGTAGCTGTCATTAAACGAACCAGGTCTGCCCACCTAACCCTGAGAAGAAATGGAAACTTACGATAATCAGTGAATCAGTACCACCAAGGAGTAGCAATTCTTAGTGCCATCTTGTCCTCCCTACACCCGGCCAATGAATGTTTCTTTGAAAAGGTAGTGTGTTAACATATGGTTCCCACGTGTTTTGACTCGAATAAGGGATCCTGATGATCAAGAACAAGACAGCGTGTAGAATAATGTGCTCTTCTATTAGACTGAGATCCAAGCTATGCTAGGTGTCTTAGTTATCTAATGCTGCTATAACAGAAATACCACAGTGGGTGGCTTTAACAAAGAGACAGTGATTCTCACAGTCTGGTAGGCTACAAGTCCAAATTCAGGGCGTCCACTCCAGAGGAAGGCTTTCTCTCTCTGTCGGCTCTGGAGGAAGGTCTTCGTCATCAATCTTCTCCTGCTAGAGGAGCTTCTCAGCACAGGGACCCCAGGTCCAAAGGACGTGCTATTGTCCTGGCTCTTGATTCTTGGTGGTACGAGATCCCCAGGTCTCTCTGCTCACTTCTCTCTTTTATATCTCAAAAGAGACTGGCTCGAGACAGAATCCACTCTTGTAGATTGAGTCCTGCATCATTAACATAACTGCTGCCAATCCCACCTCAGTAATGTCACAGAGACAGGATTTACAACACATAGGAAAATCACATCAGATGACAAAATGGGGACAATCACACAATACTGGGAATCAGGGCCTCGTCAAACTGACACACGTGTTTGTGGAGGACACAATTCAATCCATGACACTAGGTAAATCGTTCTACTGGGCTATACAACTACATACAGACCAGGAAGATGTCTAGCTTGTTCAAACTCTGGGTTATGATCAGTCTTCTTAAATGATGCTCACTAAACTCTGCACAGTGAATTGATGTACAGCCTGTTCTCCTACGGTCCGCGGGAGCAATGGAAGGGGGCAAGGATGTGGCCACCACTTCTAGGCCCCTGACCAGTCACGCCTGAGGGCAATGGCCGATCGGTAGCTTCCTGCTGAACAGGCAGTGCTTCAGGCTGTGTCTGCACACACGTGAGCGCCACTGAAAGCGCTGGCTGCCAACGCCTCAGTTATGACCACAACCCGTGAGCCCGCTTGTCTTAGTTCTCTAGTGCTGCTACAACAGAAATACCACAAGTGGATGGCTTTAACAAACAGAAATTTATTTTCTCACAGTTTAGGAGGATAGAAGTCTGAATTTAGGGAGCCAGCACTAGGGGAAGGCTCTCTGTCGGCTCTGGAGGAAGGTCTTTGTCTCTTTGAGCTTCTGCTCCTGGGCCATCTTCAGGAGGCTTGGCATCTCTCCTCCCCCATCTCCGCTCACTTGCTTGTTTAATCTTTCATATCTCAAAAGAGATTGACTCAAGACACATCCTACACTAATCCTGCCTCATTAACATAACAAAGACAACCCATTCCCAAATGGGACTGTAACCACAGGCACAGAGGTTCGAATTTACCACACATACTTTGGGGGACACAACACAATCCGTAACACCACTGCTTGGGACACACAAGTGGTTTCTTGCACACACAAACTGAGGAGCCTGCGTGCTTACACGTGGGCAGCTGCCTTTCCAGAAAGCCCTATCAGGATGGAACTGTAATATTATTCTCACTGGTCAGAATGTTCCGGAAGCACGAGGTGACCGACAGCCTAAGAAAGGAGCTGGCTGCTTCTCTGTGGGCCGTCGGAGGCTCTGAAGATCGAGAACTTCCGTGAGCAGCAGCACCTCGAGACTAAGCTGGCCAAGGTGACTATGTGGAAAGGCAACTCTTATTTGTATGTACAGACTCTGGTATTTAATTTAAAAAATGTACACTCCTCCATCTGACTCTTCAGCCGCAGCTCCCACCCATACGCATGAACGCTTGTTAATGCTTCACGATGAAGGACCCGCCCACCCAGCCTCTGAGGACCGCTGAACACAGACACATTCTTGGTACGTATCTAAAGCTTACATTTTCATAAGAAAAATAATTATCTGCCTCTTAGGCAGTTTCCCTTTTTGTATACTGGATAGCAAGCTGATTGGGCCTTTCGAAAGGGTCCATTAGATAGATTTTCAGACACAGAGGCAAGCGGCCTACAGCACAAATCGCCTCTGGCCCAACATCACAGGCCAGGCCCTCTCAGAACACAAATGCACCCAAAGAAAACACGAGCCCGTCGCTAAAATTAATACTAGGATTGCAGGATGGTCTTTAATCTGCATGATTGCTTTATTGTACAAAAAGTTTCCAGCAACAGTAAATTAGTTTTTAAAAAGGACAAAAAAAAAAAAAAGTCATTTTGGATAGAAGCGCTTCACTAATTGCTTTATTTAAGCATACAAGAAAAAAGCCTTATCTGACCAATTAGGTTGGAAGGGTTTTATTACCTTTAAGAAGCCATTAGCTAGGATAAAACACTAAAAGCACTTGTGTCAAAACAAATAAATAATGCTCTCTCAATTAGCAGAGAAAGCGGTCAATCTGTTAAAAGTCCGCGACACACTGCTTCACGAAGCCAGCACCCTCCGCCCCCTCACCCCGACAAATGAACAGAATAGACAGTAGTTTTCAGCTTCTGGGGGAAAGATCAGCGGGTGCTGTGGGGAGCCGACGGTAAACATTGACATTTCTCCTCTCTGGGCTGGTAGGCAGCCCCCACCCCGGGACACAAGGAGGCAGGTGATGGGTCCCACGCCCTCAGCGAGGGCTGTAGAAGGTGACAAAGCCCGCCTCATCAGGGTGAGGGAAGGACCCTGAGGTACCAAGACATGATTATCTGCTTCCTTTTACATCCCCAAATGCAACTGATCTTTACCCCAGTAAAGGCTCCACAGGAAAATACAGTGTTTGGAGGGCCCTAACAAGTAGGCGCCAGGCTTGGTCACCGCATCTGACTTGACCTGGGGCTGTGCATAGACAGGTCATCGCCTGGCACAGCACTGGCTCAGTCAGAAGGGGCACAGTTCCCCCATCCCCACACGACATCCTGAACACAGTTTCTAATCAGATCCATTTCTTACCCAAATTGGGTGGGGGCGAGGGGTGGGGGGGGGGCAGACACAGAGACTAACCCTCATAAGCCTATCCACTGAAAATAAATATAAATAATCGCCGTGCTTTTCTTAGTGGGTCAGTAAGACCCGGCATTTTGAAAAGCTTTAGCCATGATCCAGTATTGCCACCATGCCCATCTTTGGGGAAAATCCCTGAATTTGAATGGCCTCACTTCCAAGAACAGCCTTTATAACTGAGAAGGTCTCAACCACTAAGTCAGATGTGCTCAGCTGCTAACCGAAAGGTTGGAGGTTCGAGCCCACCCAGAGGTGCTTTGGAAGAACGACCTGGAGAACTACTTCCAAAAAAGCAGTCACTGAAAACCCTACGGGGCCCAGTTCTACTCCTGACACACACGGGGTCGCACCGAGTCGGAGCCGACTTGACGGCAACGGTTTGGGTGGTTTTTAGAGAATACCTACACCTACTCTGAGGACTCGTAGCAGCCCCACGTTTCGGCGGTGGTTTTTAGAGAATACCTACACCTACTCTGAGGACCTGTAGCAGCCCCACATTTCGGCGGTGGCCAAGGAGAGGCTGAGTTCTTATTCCCTGACCCCCTTTTCTGATAAGTAACTGTTTCTTAGGGAATAAAATGCTGTTTCCTGAAATTGCACCTCTGGATCGTTCTATGGCCAAACCACTGATGAGACAACCAGGGGCTGCCTGACGGGACACACGCCGTGGGGAGAGGGGGCTGCCTGACGGGACACACGCCGTGGGGAGAGGGGGCTGCCTGACGGGACACACGCCGTGGGGAGAGGGGGCTGCCTGACGGGACACACGCCGTGGGGAGAGGGGGCTGCCTGACGGGACACACGCCGTGGGGAGAGGGGGCTGCCTGACGGGACACACGCCGTGGGGAGAGGGGGCTGGGGCAGGGCCTGGAGGCTTAGCCCATGATCTGTTTGGACAACTTGAATACTACCACACTCTGGACTTGAGTTTAAATTTCTGGAAACAACTTCAAAGTCAATTCTAGAGCACATCTTACGCTGACAGGTCCAGATGAAACCTAACACATTTAATGAGGGCATGCTCTTCTTTAAGAGAGGCAAAAACAATGGAAAGCCATCAAAAATTACACCAAGACCTTAAAACCATACCGTTGTCTTAAAAAAACCGAACCCACTGCCCTCCAGTCGACTCTAACTCATAGCAACCCTACAGCACAGAACAGAACTGCCCCAGCTTTCTCCCATGGAGCAGGTAGTGGGTTCCGACCACCAGCCTCAGGACCAGTTAAAACAGGAACAATTTCAGCTCCCAACATTATCATCACTCTCCGTGCTATCCTACAGCTCCAGGAACATATGAGAGCACCGTATCGAGAATAGTAAGTATTGATGATCGGACCCAAGCTCACGTGAACGAGGGATTTTCAAGTCGAGACCCTCACGCCCTGGGAAGCATGCCTATTTTCTGGGCACTGCTAAGAGGCCGTGGAAGAGGCAATAAATCAAAGTGCTGGTGGAATATTTTACTTTGAAATGGAGTAATGTTTGGTTAATAATTTGAGATCCACTAATCCTAAATGGGGTGGCCCATTTAAAACGGCCTCTGTGTAAATTCACAGTTCATTAAATGGGGTCCGGTTTGAACAGGTCGTTATGTAGTTAGTGTATAAATAATTGATCGTGTGAGGACCACTAGGGGACAGCCACAGGACACAGTGGCCGGGTCTGCTGACTTTTATGACACTGTCAAGCTCCCTCTTAATGTGAGGCTTAGCTCAAATCACCAACTTTTAAATTTGGGTGGTTTTCCTTAGTAACCCCCTTTGGTTTACAGTAGAAAAATGCAGTGTAAAAATTTGAAAGGAGGAACACACCATTGAAAATTAATGTAAACTTACAAAGCTGTTTTAACTGGCCCGTCTAAATGTGTTCATTAACATCAACGGTGGCTTCTTGCTTTTCACACTTTGTTACTCTGATCATTAACAGTGATGGAAAAGCTGAATTAAGTTAATGGGGAACGGATTATAAATTCTTAAAGGACTTCTCAGCTTGTTTTCAACTGGAAAATACAGACAGAAAAATAAAGAGGCATTTTTGCCTCTACTCATAATTTTTTGGTACCAAATTTCTTAAAAATCAGATGGTTTAAGAAAAAATTATTTTTCAAAAATGATTTTCCCATGCTGCTCAGACAACAGCTGCTAACAAAATAGCCTATACACATACAACATTTACCAACTTCTGCACAGGCCTGTAAACTCTCAATTCATTTTCTCTTTAAAAAAAAAAAAAAAAAATGCACATAACTGGTCACAGAATGCAATCTCTATCCTGCAGCAGTATCAAACGTCCTTACAGCAGTTATCAAAGGAAAAAGGAAAGCCTGCTGCCCTCACTTGAGCCCACGTGTGACAGAGTCCACAGACACGCTCCCTGCCCGGACAGGCTTGCTACGCCTCCACCAGTGGCCACGGGCCCGGGTCGGGCAGCTCACACCAGGCAATCGATCCACACATGCGGTACCCACGAGCACGCCGCCTACCGAGACTTCACGCCGACAAGGATCACGGTGAGGACAATGATGATGACAAATAATATCAGGATGACAAGCATCTTGCGGTTCTTCTTTTGATACTGCTCTGCCTAGAGAGAGAGAGGGGAAACAGGGCAGTCATTCCTCCCAAAAGCCACAAGCTGGTGTTATGTGTTTTGAGTTTGAGGCTGCTACAGGCTACGCCTGTTACATACAATGCCGACACAGAGCCAAGCTGAAGCAATCAACGTGAACTGAAGCGTTCCTGAGCCCAGAGCTACTTCCCTGCCCTGGCTAACCCAGGCACTTGTTTGTAATGTACCGTTAAGATCCAGATGAGCTTGTGAGTGGCCATCTGAGACACAACTACTGGTCTCTACTCATCTAGAGCCAAAGAGAAAGAAGGAAGTCTACGGGAACCATGGCCTCATCTACCCTGAGACCAGAAGAACTAGATGGTGCCCAGCTACAACCGCCGACCATTCTGATCAGGCATACAATAGGTGGACCCTGACAGAATGGGATAAAAATATGGAACAGAACCTCAAATTTCTAAAAAACAAAACAAACAAACAAAAAACAGACTTACTGGACTGGCTGAGACTGGAGGACTCCCTGAGACTGCTGCCCTGAGATACTCTCCAGACCCTGAACCAAAACTAATCCCTGAGGTCACCTTGTGGCTAAACTGGCTCAAAAAATAATATCACCTGAAAGTACTGTGTTCCTTTAAAAAAACCATCTACGAGACCAAATGGTCAATAATTACTTTAAAACAAAGGCGAGAATGTAAGGGGCAGGGAAATTAATGGAAATGGAACAACCAGAACAGAAATAATGACAATGTTTGTGCATTGTAAAGAATGTGGCCAATGTCACTAAACAATGTGTGTAGAAATTTCTGAATGGGAACCTAAACTGCTGTGTAAACCTTCACCAAAAACACAACACAATGTTTAAAAAAAAAAAAAACAGATCCAGAGGGTCCACCGCTGCTCACTTATGCCCCGCTGGGTGTCACGATCCACTCTTTGCCTGGAAACCCCGTTTCTGGACCCAGCTCTCTGGATGCACACACCCCTCCTTCACTAGGAAATGAGACTACCGGCTAGTTACCACAGAGGGTCAGACTCTACCTCACCTGAATCTGGGAACAAGGAAAAATGCATGCTTTAAAATAACGCCTGGTTCGCGCACCCCTGGATGTCCTGGCAGAGAGTCCACCCGAGCTCAGCTGCCTCTGAGGATACAACAGAGAGCAGCCCCCCAGCTCCGCGTGGGGACTAGGGCCTGCACTCAACACCTCTGGTCCTAAAGCCACCATCCACAGCACACCCGCTGTGTGGAGATGGGGCAGTACCTGGTACAGAGCAGGAAAAAGTAGCGCTGAGGGTTAAGAGGCTGGGGAGAGGACGGCTGCCTGGGCAGACAGTACATTCTAGAGAGCCGGGGGATGGAGCAGCCCTACCATACCCAACTCTCTCCCGCGCTACTTCCACGGCCCCGCCCACCTGCTGACTGGTACTTCTGTTTCCTAAGTGAACACACCCACCCACCAGGACAGACAGGGCAGATGCCGGGAGAAACTGGCCGGTTTCCATCGCCCCTGGATAAACTGACTTCCCAGGAAGGGGCCAGCCGTGCCTTGACGACGAGGGGACTGGAGGGAGGCCCAGCACACTTACTTTTCTAATCAGTAACCAGAACACTGGGAGAGCGACCCTCAGTGATGCACTTTAAAGCTGCTCAGAACGATTTATAAAGTAGAACATAACACAAAATCTTCAGTTCCCCTGAGCTCTGTCCACTTTTCCCCTTTATCTGTGTTATATTACAAAAACACAGTGCACCCTTTTTATTTACAGAACTTCAAAACCAATGCATAATTCAACAGCACGTCACAACCTGGGTATTACAGCGCGAGAAACTGAAGTTACTTTTCCCTCTTTTAATACACAGGGCTTGGCAACCCCATTTATCTCCGTGCGTAAGAAGCCTCTGTGAACTCAAGGCGAGCTTCTCTCTCACTGTGACGCGGAGCCTCGCAGCCGGCCGCACACCCACCCACGGGGCGCGACCAGCACACTGTGGGACAGGAGGGGCTTCTGGCCAGACTCTGCAGGGTCTTACTTTTTGTAAACCTGATCCCACTCTTAGATGGGGCCCTCTCTGCTGCAGGAAGTAACTGGTTTGCAGAAAATAAGACAGAGCACTAAGTACATCAGATGAAAATCAGAAAATGCTCACTATAGAGCTGGAAATACCATGGGGTTTTAAAGATACAAGGAAATGGACAGAATTTATTTTATTTGGGAGGCACTATTATACTCCTTTGAAAGAAAATATACACCCAACTACATATGAGATCCAGCTGGCAGTTTATGCACGAGTTTCCCATAACTGGTTACAGGATTTCCAAGGTACTTTCTGTTTATTTTTTTTAAAAAGAAAAATAACTATCACGGAAAATACCCCTTAAATAGCCACCTTATTAACAAAGCACAAGACAGCTAATATTCTCACTTCAACAGACTTCTCTTTTCTCAAGGTAGTACGCAGATATACGGTGGTGATTAAAGGGGAGAATTAGATTTTTATCTTCTCCAGAATGACTCCCCATTCATCAGAATGTGTCACAACAAGAGACATCTCAGTCAGCACAATAAGCAGACAGATTTTTTTTAACACATTTTAGCAAATGACCATTCAATTGATTTCCTTAAAAAAAAAAAAAAGGACTCAGAAAGGATGAAATGTTTTCTAGGAGGAAGAAGACGCCAGTCCCCTTAGGATCTACTGTCACAGAAGGTAGCTCTCGGCAGCCTCCAATCTCAGGGTGAGGTATACCAGCAACCTCTCACTGCAATAAAATGGGCAACAACCCACACAGCGCTGTGAAAAGAAGGACAGCGTGCCTTTCCTTCTCACACTTCTCTAGCGAGAGCCGACGATGCACTAGAAAGCTTAAGACAGTTATGATGGAAGAGAATGCACTTAAAATTCTGGATATTTGGTAACAGTTCCTAAAATTCTCAAGCGCTGAAATGATATGTTATTACCTTGTGAAGCTGTTTCAAGCCATCTTCGGTTTTGATACAGGACTGTTCAACGTTATAGTCGATTCTATCAAGGACAGTACCCTGAGCAATAAATGACAGTTACAGACGATCAACAAGCACAGCTGGGAAAATTGAGCTTCAAAAACGAGATATGCAAATTGCAGACATTATTATCCACAGGACTATCTGTTTTACTTCACTGTGTTATAAAGGTACACGCTGAAAGCTCTGGAATCCATCAACAAGCAATATTAGGCGCTCAACGGCAGAGCGCTGTGCTAGTTGCAATAAAGTTGAGCTTATGAGAAAGAAATACTGAAAAATTCTTTTTGGATTTAGCTGCTATAGGATATGCCATAGTCAGTTCTACTGGGGCTTTAAAAAGTATATGGTTCAGTTAAGACAGGCTCTAAGTGGCAAAGGGCTAGCTTTTGTGCCATTTGCTACTTAAATACTTGGATTCCAGTAAGCAGCAAAGGCCAGTTAAACCAGACCTGGTTGCGATTAGGCCTGCAAACTATCACGTCTGTAAACGTGGACACAGGGCTCCATGGATCACAGTAAAAATGCTAAGCTCCAATCCACCACCCAAAAATAAAAAACTCCCCCTCAAGGAGAATTTGTTTGTTTTGTTTTAATTGACATCCTGGTTCAGGTAGGAAGGAGGGGATGCTAGGTTATATGGGAGAACAGGGCTCTTATTGGAAACAGGTTGTATCTGACAAGATCGCAGCTCGCTGGGAACCGCTGGGGTAATTAGTGTAACCAGATCTCCCACAGCCACAACACACCATTCTGCAGCTGGTTTGGGGAGGGGGGGACCAGGACCCACATCCCTGCTGGCAAGATAATAAAATACCTTAATCAGATTCTAATGGTGAACAAACAATTTAATTCTACTTGAAAGCTAGTGGTTCCAGTAGCCATTACACAGTAATCTCCCAAAATTAGAAGGAAATCTTACGTATTTGCTGGAATCATGGCTGAGCCTGGCCAGAATCAACCAGGCCTCCAGGGCAGGGTGCTCAACTGAGTTTCCTTGGGGCATGGGCAGAGAACATTACAATTTCTATTTACAGATTAGATTTATTCGCAACAACAGTAGTGTATGTATGTAATTTGTACATACATATGCGTATGTGTACATACACACACATATACTATGTTTTTATGCAAATAACGCGTACCTTCTAAGTTTGTTTGCCAACCAGTCCTCCTCCCACAGGGTATTTTTGTAAGTGCTTTGCTAAGTTTTTTTTTTTTTACAGCAACAGGTATAAAAACATTCGCATAGCGGCACTTACAAAAATCTCACAGGGGAGGAGGGTGTGGTTGGCAAACATAGAAGGTACGCGGTATTTGTGTAAAAGACAGTATAAACACACACATTCCTGAAGGAGTGCAGGGACAAAAGCCTGGAGAAGGACCAGATGTCACAGGCGAAAACCAGTGATGAGGCAAGGATGCTCACGTACCTGTTCTACGATCATCGCCCCTAAGTCCCTAAAAATCTCGTTGAGGTCCGAGATGGACTGGACTATCTGGCGGATCTCCCGCTCCCGCTCCTCCACCATCAGCGTGTTCTGCTCCACCAGCACCAGCTGGTCGTCTGTGAAAACCTACCAGAACAAAACGGTGCAGAATGTGAATATTCGACTTTCCTGTTCCCCCTCAAGGAAGCTACGGCAGTGTCCATTTTAGATCTAATTTAAATAAAGTGGATTCTGAAAATATTCCTACAAAGCACATAAACAACATTTTGTCATAAATGAGCATTTCCTGTCCCCTAACAGGAAAGATCCAAATTCACCAAACAAGCAGGATATAAAGCACTGTTTGGCAGGGCCAGCCCCAGGCAGGGGGCGTGGAGAGAACTCCCACTTCTGCAGCTAAGCAAGGCTAACCAGCAAAACCACCAAGGATAACCTGCGCTTCTATGGGCTCTTCCCAAGAAAGGCGTGTGCTTTCTGGAAGGTTTTGGAAGGCAGATTACGAGGTCTCCCTGCAGCCTGTGGGAAGGAAGGGATACTGTGACCCCACGACTGCTCTTCGGTCTGCTGGTGGATACACAGGTCAAACAGTGCTGGGATGTGTGCACTGCAACACAGGTTAGAAGCCTATGAAGTCGGAGAAACAGAGAGAAGTGCAAACGTGCAGCCATCGACTGTGCGGCCCCTTCACGTACCCGATCATAAAGAGTATTATCGTCTCCATCATCCATCAGAGGTACTGACGTATCAAAAAAATGCTGGGCTCTTTCCTCTCGATTCTTCATGCCTATCACAGATAGGAATTCACTTTACTTGAATACGTAAACCATCCTGGTTACCATTCCACCATTAAAAAGGGGAAATCTAGAGTAAAACTCAACAGTCAAAATGGAGATACTTTTAGCAGCTTTGAAAGAAGCCTATCTCCAGTAAGGGTGGGGAGCAGGGAGGAGCAGAGGATCCTAAACATATGCACACGTTGGGATTATTCAAGACAAAGCCAGCAGTTTAAGTGTCTACTATGCACTTGAGGCCAAGACAAAAATTACACTTACAATCTAGAAGTGAAACAGTAATATTTAATCCAACCGCTGCTACAAAACATTTTGTAAAAAATCAATATTTCTCTCTAGAAGCATCTAATAACAATTCCAAATGGCCCTAATCAAATTTGAAAAGTAATAAAATTAAGATACGAATACACTAGCTTTTAGAGGGGGAGAGCTGGATGTTCCAGGATGGGGGTATCACTGACTGCAAAGGCAATCAGGAGTTACAGAGGAATCTAAATGGGGGCGCAGCTGGAACCTGGGGAGAAGAGATGCCCGGAGTGAACCAGCGGTGCTGGCAGAGGAGGGGTTCCGGCCACTCTGAAGGAAGTTCGATTGTAAGGAAAAGATGTGACTTTCCCGTGATAACTAACTTTACGCTTTATAAGGGCCCCCCCCCCACCATAACATCCAGAAAGCAACAGGTTTTAAAAACGTGCTAGACTGACACGCAAGTTGTTCAAGCTTGACCCAGAATAAAATCTGCTCTCCTGGGTGGGAGCCATTTTGGTGGCCCTGCCTGCAACCTCAACCTGCCCTCCCACGCCCGCCCCAGCTGGGCCTTGTTTGTACCCTGGCCCTGTGCGGGTGGGGGTGGGGGGCAGGCTTCCTCTCATCCCAAGAGGTGTGAACTGCGCGCCTGGCGACACTCACGTTTGAGGTAGCCCGACTGTGCGTGCCGGAAGCTGGTGGACAGCTCCTGCAGAGCCTGTGCTAGGGAGGCTACCACGTTGCGAAGCAGCTGCCCCTCCTGCTCCGAGCAGCCCCGGCGTGCCCGGCTCGGCAGGGCCTGCACGGCCCGCTGGCATCTGTGGAAGAGCTGAGAGAACAAGCCGACTCACCGGAAGCCGAGGAAAGAAAGCCCTCCGCTAGCACGGCTCCCTGCACGAGTCTGGGGGAGAAAGGAAGGCTCTGCTCACTCAGGGCAACACAGGGCCGGGGAGCAGGTAAGTCACCCGAGGCCCACCTTCTGCACGCGGGCAGATTCCGCTAATGCTGCACTTTACAGGTGCCCATGTGCATATGGCTATGCAACATCACACCAATCACTCCACTAGAGCATTCTGCCCATTTAATAATCCCCACAAGCCCCTGAGGTAGGTATTATTAGTATTAGTCCCATTTTACAGATGAGAAAGCTAGAGTCAGAGGGACTAAAGAATCAGGTCCTTGTTCAGGATTCAAACATTCCAAGGCCCAGGGCCACAGCAGCATGCCGCCTCTTCAGTTAACCAGAGCCCACGTAAACACTGCAGTGTAAGCACTGGTCATACTTTTAACATTTTATAAGGCACTTTTATAGGATACTAAGTTTCTCTAGGGAGCCCTGGTAGCACAGTGGTTAAGCACTCAACTGCTAAAGGAAAGGTCAGTGGTTCAAACCTACCAGCTGCTCCAAGGGAGAACCATGTGGCAGTGTGCTTCTGTAAAGATTTCAGCCTTGGAAACCCTGTGGGGCAGTTCTACTCTGACCTACAGGGTTGCTATGAGTCAGAATCGACTTGATGGCAGTGGATTTAAGCTTTTCTAGGATACTAATATGGTCTTTCTAGGGCAATAGCTCACAATCTTGTCAATGATGTGGACAAATTTTAACATAAAAATTATTCAAGGACTAGTATAATGGAATCTACGCATTCTAAACCCAAATGACTGAACTCAGCCATGCTTTGAAAGTTGTATTTTATCAATCCACAGCAGAAGAACATCAGCACAACTCCCAGGTGTCACATCAGGAGTCACGCCCAGGTGTGACCCTGGGGGATGTCAGGACCCTTGCAGCCACTCTGAGAACTAACTAAAGCTCTAGGAAGCTGACCTCCAATCGGATGCAGAACTGTAAGCCTTTGTGACTTAATACAGCTTGACAAGGGCCTCAGGGTGACGATGGGTAGCTGGGGCTGGCCGCCCTGGGCTGGGGGTGCTGTCTCCACCTCACCTGCGTGATCTCCTGGGCCGTTATTTCAATGGCGTGCTCATCCTCGCTGCTGTCATCCAGGGTGGGTCTGTTTAAGTGCTTGTCGTGAAGGCTGGCTAATTCTTTCATCTTCTGTTTAATCCGGCTGACATCGTACTGTATCTAAACACAGGAAATCACCAGGACCCCACTGGAGCCTGGCAGGTACCGGTCTGCTCAGAGGCAATTAGCTACTCAGGAGACCTTGCAGGCCTGCTCAGGTGTAAGCAGCCTTTAATCCCAGTGACCAGAAATTCGAACACCCCTGACTCCTTGTTTTCCATTTCTTTCTGTAATTCAGGCAGCTCCCACCAATGGTAAAACTGAAGCTGAACTCGTACGTGTCACTCACTCACACACACACTCACACACACTCACACACACTCACACACACTCACACACACTCACACACACACACACACACGAAGCTTGACCCAGAATAAAATCTGCTCTCCCGGGTGGGAGCCATTTTGGTGTGTGAGCTGAATAAACCTAAAGCGAACATATTTCTAGAGACAGGCATTCAAGTTTAGCCAAATTAAAATTTTATGACAGAGTATCTTCAAATCCATTAATGTCACCAGGACTTAAAAAAGAAGAAGATAATGTGAAACTAACATTGAACTTACTTCGTCCACTCCATCCACCCACTTGGGGGGCAGCCGTTTTGTCACGCCAACGGCTGCTTCTGGGTCTAAGCTAAGGCCTGACACCAGTGCCATGCGGTCATCGGCAAGCTACAGGAAGATAAAGTGACATTAAAAAATGTTATTCGATCCCAATTTGGTAAAAATACTCTTCTTCCCTCTTAAATGTTGCTCCCTAAAAAGAGACAGAAAGGTAGGAGTAAAAGCACTTGCCTGTGGTATAAACTTGCTTTTGATACTGCTAGCATTTGGAATGTTTTCCTATCTTTTCATGCACCAGCTCTTAACTTCCTTGGACATACTTGTGAACATGAATTTGACTTGATCTGGCTATAGAAATGTAATGACAAAGTCAACAAAAGATCCTTAAAAGACAGATCTTTTAGTATTAGTACTGTGATAGAACTGCACGCGCCTCAACAGTTAATGTGATCAGATATAAATCGAACAACTACTACCCCGTCAATGTAACTAATGCACAATTTTCAACAGTAACGAGGTTTACTTAAACACACTCAGCTTCCTTTGGAAACAGGACTGATCCAGCTATCTTAGGCACGACGTCAGTGACCACGTGCTGAAATGTGGGAAGAAACCACCCACCACAGAGAGCAAATTAGCCACCATCTGGCAAAGGCAATCCTTAAAACCTCAGTGCAGCCTGACACTGTCATTTCTTTTCTCAGTTAAATGTCCACAGGCAACGTTTTCACTTATTCTGAAATGACATCGATAGTTGTTTAACTGTATAACACACTGCCTTAGAAAGCTTCTCCAAGCGAGAGGTGAACCAGGGGTTCGGCTTGACTAAGCTGCTCTCTTGCCCGGGAGCCACGGACAGGTTGAAAGGAACACGAGGAGCCCTTTGGAGCACACGATTTATAAATGCCAGCTTCAAAAGATCTAAATGATGATCAAAAAATAATGGAAAACAGTCTATAAAAGTCCTTTAGAGGTACTACATCACATTGTAGAAGTAGGTGAGAGGTTTGCACTGCTTTTCTTCCCTCATCCCTGCTTTTATCTAAATTTATTTTTTTATTCCTTCCGCGGATACTTGCTTGCTTTTCTAACAATAAACGAGCAAGATGAAAATTAAAAATCCACACCAGAAGGGGAAAAAAAAAAAAAATCACACAAGGAAAAACCTGTATCAAACAAATTCCTCACATAACAGCCCTACATCCTGAACACAGAGTTCACAGCAAAATCCTAGAAGCAAATTGGTGTCTTGCATTTACCCTTCTCTGCCTGCTGGTAAGGTCTGGGTACTTGGGGGACACTGCTCAGGAAGCGCAAGGACCCACCGAGGAGCCAGAGCGCTCGGAGCGTCTACGTCGGCGGGGCCAGCCCCGGGGGCTCTATTTCAGCTCTGACACACGGGGTGGTTTGTCATCTACAGTAATTCCCCACGACCGCGTGTGCGCGTGTGCGCGTGTGCGCGTGTGCGCGTGTGCGCGTGTGCGCGTGTGCGCGTGTGCGCGTGTGCGCGTGTGCGCGTGTGCGCGTGTGCGTGCGCTAACAGGAATTTCGCATTACTTTTATTATTTAATCCTGACAAACACCAGGTGAGCTAGGAACTCTGATCCCAATGCAGAAATGAGGAAGTGGAGACTCAGGGAAGTAGCTTGCCCGAGGCCACAAAGCTATCACGTGACAGACTGAACCCGGCCCGGGCCGCCCTGTCCACTCTACCAGCTGCCAATCACGCTGACAGGCCCATGAAATATAACTGCAATTTGCTAAGAAAACGAGTAAGGACAAGGGGCCATCGGGTCAGAAAAACAACAGAGCACACCGCTCTGACCCGCCCC